TGAGCAATCTATAGTCAAGGACACACTAAAAAATGAATAAAAAGTTATTTTTGTTGTGCCCAAATGATAACTGGAATTTAAAATATTCTAAAGCAAATCCTATGGTTACAGGCATAGGAGACAATTTTAACTTGCAAAATGAAAAACCCACTAGATTAGGCTACAGAGATAGTAGGAACTGCCGATGCTGGAGAATCTGAGATAACAAGGTGTAGAGCTGGATGAACACAGCAGGCCAAGCAGCATCAGAGGAGCAGGAAGGCTGACGTTTCGGGTCAAGACCCTTCTTCAGAAATGGGGGAGGGGAAGGGGATTCTGAAATAAATAGGGAGAGAGGGGGAGGTGGATAGAAGGTGGATAAAGGAAAAGATAGGTGGAGAGGAGACAGAGAGACGGGGTTGGAGCCAGTAAAGGTGAGTGTAGGTGGGGAGTTAGGGAGGGGATTGGTCAGTCCAGGGAGGACGGACAGGTCAAGGAGGCGGGATGAGGTTAGTAGGTTGGAGATAGGGGTGGGGCTTGAGGTGGGAGGAGGGGATAGGTGGGAGGAAGAACAGGTTAGGGAGGCGGGGACAAGCTGGGCTGGTTTTGAGATGCAGACGGGGGAGGGGAGATTTTGAAGCTTGTGAAGTCCACATTGATACCATTGGGCTGCAGGGTTCCCAAGCAAAATATGAGATGCTGTTCCTGCAACTTTCGGGTAGCATTGTTGTGGCACTGCAGGAGGCCCAGGATGGACATGTCGTCCAAGAGTTGAAATGGTTCGCGACTGGAAGGTGTAGTTGATTGTTGCGAACTGAGCGTAGGTGTTCCGCAAAGCGGTCCCCAAGCCTCCGCTTGGTTTCCCTGATGTAGAGGAGGCCACAACGGGAACAGCGGATACAGTATACCACATTAGCAGATGTGCAGGTGAACATCTGTTTGATGTGGAAGGTCTTCTTAGAGCCTGGGATGGGGGTGAGGAGAGAGGTGTAGGGGCAGGTGTAGCACTTACTCCGGTTGCAGGGAAAAGTGCCGGGGGTGGTGGGGCTGGAGGGGAGTGTGGATGTGGAGCCGACAAGGGAGTCATGGAGAGAGTGGTCCCTCCGGAAAGCAGATAAGGGTGGGGAGGGAAAAATGTCTTTGGTGGTGGGGTCGGATTGCGGATGGCGGAAGTGTCGGAGGATGATGCGTTGGATTCGGAGGTTGGTGGGGTGGTACGTGAGGATGAGGGAGTTTCTGTTTTGATTGTTATTGTGGGTAGGGGGTGTGAGGGATGAGTTGTGGGAAATGCGAGAGACACGGTTGAGGGCATTTTCGACCACTGTGCGGGGGAGGTTGCGGTCCTTGAAAAATGAGGATTAGGCTACATGCTGATTTTAAACTCCAATCAATATTACTAATTAATGTTCATGGAAAACAAAATTGTGTGTAGTGTAAAACTAAAATTACACCCAATTCCATCAGTTTCCCAACTGTCAGGTTGTATTCGAATTGACCCCAACTGTCAAAGGGTAAAATTAGCATTTCACCTAGTCCAGTGGGTTTCCCATCTAGCGAGTTCCTTTGATATTTCCCCATAATTTATATTTGCACTACTATACCAAATAATTGATTGTCTTTATTATTAACCACATGTTGTATTTATACATTTCTGTAAAGTAGGCTTGTATTTATATCTTTTTCCTTTTCATCAGAACTGTATATTCAAAATAACAACACCCTGCAGTCAAATGTAAATTTGTAAGAAAAAGTTTATGATAAAATCACTTTATCCAGTCAAGCATTTATTCAACCACACAGAATTTTACTGATATTGTAATTCAAGTATTTAATTAAAATTGAATTTATGCATTTGTCAGTTGAAATTTTGTAAATTATGCTGAAATATTATTTAATTTTTCATATAATAGGGGTCAAAGCCTCTTACATAAAGATCTACATTAAGCAATCTGTGACTCGTAAACTTGCTACTTCATATTAGATGTGGATATAAAGAACATTAAAGCGCATGATGCATCATGAAGTGTTAATGGATTGGTTCATCCACCATGATTGTTGCATTTGGGCATTTTATAGTTTCTGAGAAAACGGAGGCTTGCAATAACTGCTGGTAGATGTTACTTATAGATTAAGCATAAGATCATGTGCTCAAAAATTCAGGAGTTGGGGTCTACAACAACTACGTGCAGAAGCAAACAGATACTGTTGATTCTCTGTAGCTCCAACTATTAGAATCATTCTTTGGTAGAAGTTTTAGAGCAATGAGAGAGATCAAATTGAGGTAGTCAAGATGATAGAAGGTATAGATAACACAGACATGGAGCAGATGCTCCCTCTTGTGGGTCTTTTTAGGACAAGAGGTCATAGTCTTATGATTAGCAAATTTAAAACAAGTTGAGGAGAAACTACTTCTCCCAAAGAGTTGTAAATCTGTGGAATTCATTACCCCAAAGTGCAGTGGATGCTGAGACAGCAAGTAAATTTAAGGAAGAGTTAGACAGATGTTTAATTGGTAATGGGTTGAAAGGTTATGGGGAGAAGGCAGGAAAATGGGGGTGAAGAGCATAACAGCCATGATTGAATGGCGGTGCAGACTCATTGGGCCACATGGCCTAATTCTGCCCCTATTTCTTATGAACTTATGGTCGGATACAGCTAAATTGTGATCTTGATAATGATGACAATGCAATCATATTTGTTGTAAATTGAACTGTTGACCATGCCAGTTGTGAGTACTACCTGTTGTCAATGCTTCAGTTGTCTAATGACAGTCCCTCTTAGAGGGAGATAAGTTAGTTGCTTTAGAGTTAAGATGGTGGTTTCTAAATTAAATACCTTTAATGCCCTTGTCCATTCTGTCCAGGTATCAGTGCAAGGCAGTATGGTTTTATCTAGTTAAACTGAGCAGATTTTCCCTGCAGATTAGGGCTTTCCCAAGTCTTAATTTTGCAATCCTGCACTTTAGCTTTCTGATGTTTGATTTGTATGATATGTATTCATATCTGAACATAGCAAACTGAAACACTGCCTGTCTAAAATTCTATAAAGCTTGGTTTGAAAACACTTAGATGTACTGATATGTTTCTGCATATAAGGTTTGTCTATTCAATCCTTCCCAGAAATCTGTTGAATGTTTTAGAAAATTGGTGTTTCCAGAACAGAAAACAAGCTATCATGGGGGTTAATTTTGAATTGCTGTATAAATCTTGTTCCCTGTACTGTGGCCAAGCATCTGATGCTCCAACAACCCACTGCACAAGTTTCCCCTATCCTTTTCCTTCTTTTGCTAACAATTTTAAGGTTCACATTCCTTAACACTGACCCCAGGGCACAGGAAAGTTTGATCCTTATTTCTCTAATTAAATTGATAATTTGAAAACAAGAATTGGATTTCTATATGTAACAGTATAGGTCATTCTATCATTTCTAAACTCTGTGTCTTCAATTATATTAATTATAGAATCCTATAGATTTATTTAATAACTCAATATTTGAATTTCTTTGGTACATTTTGGCATCTAGAACTTTCGCATAACTCAAAATGTGGTCTGACTGGAACACTACAGTATAAGCATGATTGCCTTAAACTTTGACTATGCTTTGGTTATAAAGCTTAGTATACAATTCATTTCATGGATTTTCCATCATAATTAAACATTCCAACTGCCGAGTATGACAATACCTAAGATTGCCAGTATCCTTCATCCTTAAATGTTCAATTACCGTACATTAAGTGTACCTATTACACATGCTGCCCATTTTTCTTCCAAATGATTTTCTTCCTATGTAGTATCTTATATTTGTATTCATATTTAACCTGTCTCCACCCACTTAAACATTTGGTCTAACATAGTTTGCAAGTACAGGGCTGCATTCTCAGCTTCAGTTGCTCCACTTCCCAAATTGTCATCGTCTTGTGTAGTCTTTTTTTTCAGTTGGTTTCTGCTAAAATGACATTTGCACTTTAAATCTGGGTCTTTAATTTTGTTGCTGGAATAGAGAAACAAAGATTGGTTATGCAAAATTAAGGAACTGAATAAATAATATCTTTGGAACGCAAATGAAAGAAAAACAACCCAAGTGATGGAAATGGGATATAAAAGCATTTGCATCAGTGATCCCTTGGACATTCAGCACTTGCCCTGCTTTAACTCCACTCTTCCAATAAGTGTCTGTTTTTACCTTCGTCTAATTTCTTATATAGTCCAAGATTTTAGCTTAAATTGTGATTCTGCTGTTATGTAATTTTTCACTATAGGTTCTTTCTGCATGTAACATTTTACCTATCAACTGTACACATACAAAAGCTGCAGAAAATATCTCTAAGCATAAATTTAATTAAGTTCAAATTATTTAGTAGGGCACTATTGGATCTTTTGGCAGGCAGATATGTAGTTAAGAACCTCTAGAACTCTATAGGTTAAAAATTGGTTTCAGGCAGTGATCCAAATCGATTGTATTGATCAGTTGTTTAAATTCCAGTACAGACGCCACTCGGTTGTATTTGGAACTGAATATCAAGGCACTGTGTACAATAGCAGCTGAATTAATACAGCCTGAAATAAGTAACGCCCAAAATGAAATTCAACGCCTATGATAGATTATAGTAAAGAATTAACCTCAGCAGCAATAATGATACAGGCTTATTCAACTTTGCCAAAAAGTAATTAATTTATTTTTAGTTTGCTTTTCTTACAGATGTTTTCGTGATATGCTCAAAGTTTAGAATGGAATTATTTTCTTCTGTTAGGCACAGATCTATTTTCAGTAGTTTGAGAGATCAATTTATTTCATTCATAATTTGAGTAATATCTGCTTTTCAACAAATTGATCTCTAGAAATAAATTAACATTAGGAAGCAAATTTAGAACAATAATACTAATATTACACAACAATATGATGTATTGGGAGAAAAGCAATTTTCAAGCAGTTGAAGACATGAAAATAGCCAAAAGGATAACTTCATTGATACAACAGATTTATGTAAACACTGCAACTACAATTAGAAACATTAATAATACTTAAAAAATACAAATTATAATGAATGTAGCATAGGGACGAAAAAGATTGTGTACATCCCTCCACAAAACTTTTAAGAAATGAACTGTTTTTCAGTTTACACCTTAAGAAAATAATCCTATTTATGAACATCCTCCATGGACCCTGTATGACAGAAACTAACAGTGGGGTGTTGGGAGGCAGCTTATCTGTTTCATTAGAGATAACAAGGTGTAGAGCCGGATGAACACAGCAGGCCAAGCAGCATCAGAGGAGCAGGAAGGCTGACGTTTCGGGCCTGGACCCTTCTTCAGAAAATCTGTTTCATTATACTGGTCTCAATGGAGTTCATCTTTTTTTTATTCATGGGATGAGAGTGTCACTGGCTACGCCAACGTTTATTGCCCATTCCTAATTGACCAGAGGGTCTGCTTATAAAACCAATTAAGATTTTTGTTCCTTGTAACTCCCACAAAATATTTACTATTGTTAGCAAATATTTCTGTTTGTGTCTACAAAACCACCAACTGCAAATAAGGCACAAGTCTTATTTCCAGTACACCAACTCAGCACAGTTCCTACCAGAGTTGAGCTTTAGGTACAATATCAAAGTCCATTGAAATGCAAGAAAATATTTATTTATAAAGATCTGAAACAGATTATCCACTATCTGCAAAATATTTAAGAATTCAACCTGATATTACATACTCATTCAGTTGTGTGAAGCATTTCTTTGTGTTTGCTGTAAATTCCCCTTTACCTGTGAGACTGATGCTGTAGGCTGTGATATTTGTGTGATATAAGATGTTACTTTGGTAGTTGTAACTAAAGGTTTTGTTTTCATTTTAGTGGAACTTGACAAGTAATTCCTATTTTAAAAATACAGTTGACAATACAATATATTCTGAATCAAATACATCAAATTAGCTAAATTACAGAAAAAATATACTTTGTAATCAGCACAAGGATGTTAGACACTTATTTATTTTGGACTCCATTGCCACAGAAATACATACTTGCTATAGAGGAAATACAGCAAAAGTAGTTCAATTAAGTAATTCCTGGCAGGATTTCCTTACGAGGAGAGATTGAAGAAACCGCACTTATATTCTATAGATTCCAAGAATGAAAAGTTAATCTCAATGAAATTTACATATATTTTACAGGGTAAACATGGATGTTACCACTCGTTGTTGAGTCTAGAACCAGGGAACAGAGTATCAGAATACAAGTCAGGATATTTAAAACGGAATGAAGAGGGGCTTCTTCATTCTCTGACTCAGAGGGCTGAAAATCATTTATATTTTTCATGAAGAGATTGATCAATTTCTACATATTCAAAACATTAAGAAATATTTAAGGAAAATTGTATTAAAGTAGGTCAGCTGTGATCTCATTGAATGATAGAGTGGGCTCAAAGGGTTGAATGGCCTGCCTATACAGGATACTTCTGTTTCTAATGTTCTTATTAGATCTTTTTAGGATTTGTCCAAAATTCATCCATTCTACATAAAAATGAAGTTTTAACAATTTACAATTATTCTTGCTGTTCAGTCAGGAATAAAGCTATTACCCAAATAATAGCATGATCTTCAACGCTGTTACAAGTACTCATTTTCATTTATTGTAATAATGTGTTTAAATGGTTTTTAATGCCATTTAATCAGGCTCAGCCTGGATAGTATAGATGGGGAGAAACTGTTCCCACTCAAAAGGATTGAGCGCCAGTAGTCACAGGATTAAAGTATTTTGCAAAAGAAGCAAATGCAAGGGGAGAAAATAAATTTCACATGATGAGTAGTTAGAGTATGGAATGCACTGTCTGGAAGCATGGTGAAGGCAGGTTCAATTAAAGTAGTGAAGAGGGCAATCGATTTTGAATAGAGACAACATGCAAGGAAAAAGGCACGATATTGGCAACAAGTCAAAATATTCCAAGAGCTGCTGCAGACAACGGGTGGAATAGCTTACTTTCTGTACTGTAACAATTCTGTGAAAACACTGAATGGACAGTTGCAAGACTGAAGCAGCATGATGGAGGACAAAGAGCACTACTCATAACTGAACTAAAACTCAAAATACACAGAAGTGCATAGCAAGATCTTGAGTGCAAGCTTTTGCATTCTTACTTCCATTACTTTTTGTCTTGCGCACTATGCAATAGGTACAGACTTCAAATCATTATACTGTCAGAGCATCAAAATATTGTGCAAATTAAAAGTCCAGTGACTGCTAAAGTTCAGTTAGAAAATTCATTTCAGCCAAAACAAATGTCAAATTGTTTGATTCTCAGTAGATTACTTGTTATTTTTCATCTCTACATCAGACTATATAAAACAGGCCTAGACTTTTAACCCCTGGTCATGATTTAACTAAAATTCTTTCTTTAAAAAAATGGACTTGTGGTATTTTTCGTTAGCTTGTTATTTTTCACAAATCACTACCCCACACAATCTTGAGCTTTAAGAGAAGTTGGGTAACTGTTACATACAGTCCTAGTTTCAAATAACTTAAAAGTTAATGCATTTGTTCCAAAAGAAATATTTATTGTTTTCCAGTTCTCAAAATACTTCCTGCAAGATAAATCAATGTATCAGAATCACTGAAACACTAAAACTGCCATTTATCAACAATCTGCAGAAAACTAAAGGAAAAATAGACAAGTTTAAAATGCTACCAATTCACTCAGTACTTCTTTATATATATTGAACAAGTACAAGATTAGTGACAATCTACATATTTTACAGAAAGAATGATTGACACTTTTATACATGATCTGCATAAGTTAAACAATATTTACAGATAAGCTGTTAGTATGTTTGTTATCCAAAACTAAAGTTCTCTGTACATATATTTTAAAAAAGTATGAAATGCTATTCTTTTAGAACTCAGCATAGCAAGTTAAATTTTTACTTTGTAAGTAATATAACTTTTGATACATAGTTGCCATGCAACTGAAATACAGTGTCATCACTGAGTAAATGTCATATTTTCATTTCCAACTCTGAACAGACAACAATTTGGAAGATTTTATCCTCCAGAGGTAAATATTATGCCATGGACTGCAGGCAATGCAAGCTTCTTGGAATTTTTAATTATTTTTAAAATCCTAGAACAAATTTAGTACAACCATTTTATATTAGTTACACTATTGACATCTAACATAATTTTCAGATGTTCATTATGGAATGTTAGCATTTCTACTTTATATTGTTTAAACTGTTATAAATGCTATTACTATAACACTTCAGTATTATTGCTGTTCCTCTGAGATTTCCTTGATGCTCTTTTGAAGGATCATCTAAAATGATTTTAACAATGGTTGTGGTCACTCCAAACAAAATGGCCTCATCTTTTTGGCCTTTTATGTTTGCACAGTTCACCGATACAGATAATAGGATATTGGACATATTTTCTTCTGAACTGAATGTCCTGTCTATTTAAATTCCTTGCAATTATGCTTGCTCAGTGTTGTAATGCGTCAACTGCTCATTAGAGGTTAATAATATCACTTGACTCTGAATACGTGCTCCTTTAGCCCAAACCATTTATGAACTATCCTTGTTTTGTGTCTAGCAGCTACTTACAGGTGTGCACATCAGTCATAGTTTCACACCTCCGACAGCGCACGTAGCAACACCACACAAATTTACAGTCGCACCGTTCCACGTGCCGGACTACATGCGTGTTATATCCCCGGCCACAACACAGCAAGTTGCAACCATCAGCGGCTGGTGAGGTACGGTTGCATTGCCTCCCCCGGGTCCCATGGATCCCAAGCTTCTTATCCTCCACACAATAATTTGGTGACTTTTTAATATATACCAGATCTTCCCTGTTCACAGGCACTTTCCGCTGCACCTTGTCTTTGCGACGCACCTTTTTCTTTGATCTGTCCAAGATCTGGATGCTGTGCTCGTATTTCTGTTTCAGAAATTGACCGATTTTGTCGAAGGAAGACATGGTTTTCCAACAAGTCTTCACAGCACACGAGCCAGAGACTCCATGACAACGGCAGTTCACAGACATCAATTTGGACACTGCCTGTCGGAGCCAAAATAAAGATACATTAAGCCACTTGAATCTTTTGAAAATTGCTCAGCAACCCAAGTTAATTAAAACAAACCACCAGTCATTCATTGTCCATTACTTTAAGTCTGTGCTTGTACAGCAATTGCCGATGTTCAAACACAGGAATCACTGGAATTATATCATTAACTATGCCTCGCTGCTCCACCACAAAGTAACACTTCTCGTTTATTCTTTGACGCGCTCAGCGCACCATCTCTGAATTGTTACTTTTAAAACCATAAACTGGGAAGGGGATGTCTAACATTGAAAAGTGTTGTTATAAAATTGTAACATGTGGCATTGCACTTAGCTGGGTTTATATAATACATAATCCACACCCGAAGTGTGTGAAATTGCCTTCTAGATGCTTACTTTAGCTTAAGGTTCGGTTACATATAAATTTATTGCAATTGAAAGTCTTTTATCATCTCTAAAGTTGTGGGAATGTGAACCATATTTTTTCACATGACATTACTCCAAACCATCAGGAAATGTTAATCCTGTGGCATCAATGCCAAGTTAAACCCTGAATTTGGATTGCAGTTGAATTTAGGTATTAACTGTGCGCTCAGTGCTGAACAAAAATGATTTATACATTGTTACTAATAATGTGAATATACCCGCAACGTGCTCAGGAGTGAGAGCCCAGTTACTGTTTATACTGTTATACTGTTTATACTTATACTGTTTCAGGTCAGTGCAAAAGTGTTACTAATTTCACTAAACAGCATACTTCAGGTTATGTTAATACAACTGTTGATTAATTAAACTTCATTAAAATTTAAGGCGTGAACAATACAGATAAAATGTTTATAACTAAATTAACAAGCATGTAGCTTTCTGAATATTATCTAGCAAATATTAACCAGACATTGAATATCAAGTGAAGTCAAAATATTGTCCAGAATTATGAAAACAGTAATGCATTGTTGATATTGAGGAATAACTGTGAAACTAATTGAAACATAATTTCAACATGCATTGCCTAAGACAGATTGATCAAACTTAATTTGAATTTTTGAATTCTTGTCTGCCTTTCTTGAGAAGTAATAATGCAATTTAAAATTTCAACACATTCAGTCCTGCCAGTTTCATGCTACAACATTGCATTGTTTACAATACAACTTGTAGCTATCTACAAGAGATAAAAGTTTTCACATAACCCAAGCTGCTAATACTCTCTGAATGATACTTGTAACATTCATCATAGAATCCCTGCAGTATGGGAACAGGCCCTTCGGCCCAACAAGTCCACACCTACCCTTGGAGCATCCTACCCAGATCCACACCCCTATAACCCACCTAATCTACACATCCCTGAACACTACGGGCAATTTACCATGGCCAATCACCTAACCTGCACATCTTTGCTCTGTGGGAGGAAACCGGAGCACCCGGAGGAAACCCACGCAGACACAGGGAGAATGTGCAAACTCCACACAGTCACCTGAGGCCGCAATCGAACCCTGGTCCCTGGTGCTGTGAGCCACCGTGCCGCCCTACTCAAATGGAATAATTATAATATCCAGATGTCATGGGAGCCTAGTAAACCCATTCAAATTATTCTAACTATAGCATGAATTTGGATTGAGCCTCTGGTTTAGTGGTGAAGGGGTGCAGTCTCACTCAAGACAGTCTGGTGAATGAGACTAAAACATGGTATCTAAATATTGATTTAGCTACCGGCAGGCTATTGGAGTCTGGAAGGAGTAAGAACTGCATCACGATATATTCCTGTCTGAGTCGCGAGTGGAATTGGGCTCCGATTTCATACAACAAACTGAGGCAAGTGCCAGGTTAATTTGCAATGGATGGGTGTAGTCCATTAAAAAGAGGGCAGGTACAGCTCTTTAGCCTTGATTGAAGGCCACAAAAAAAACACTCTTAAAATAAAGAAACCTTGTTGAATGCACCTTACCAACACTGTTGATGGGATTCTTCCCTGAGCCAAAGAAAGCTGGTTAGTTCTAGGCCCGGACAAGAGTCTTGAGTACTAACATCCAGGTGCATAATCCAATGTGGTATTGAGAGAGTGCTGCATTGTTTATGGCGCCAATTTTCAGATGACATATTAAACAGAAGCTTTGTGTGCCTGACCAGATGCATGTAAAGGATGCAATGGCACTGATTCAAAGAGCAGGCAAGTTATCCTTTACCTGGGCATTACTTAACTCTCATATTGACATCACAAAAACTAACATATTGTTTTTTGTAAGAGCTTGCAGTGCATAGGCTTGTCACATTTTCCTATATTGCAACAGTTTCAAAAGTACTCCAATAAAAGCAAAACACTGCAGATGTTGGAAATCTGAAACACAGAATAGAGTTCTGAAGAAGGACGTCAGTGAGGCCTCTTCTAGAGTACTATGTGCAGTTCTGGTTGCCCTGTTGTAGGAAGGAAATTATTAAACTGGAGAGGATACAGAAAAGATTTACCAGGATGTTGCATGGAATGGCGGGTTTGAGTTACATAAATAGGCTGTTTTTTTTTTCACTGGAGCATAGGAGGTTAAGGGGTGACCTTGTAGATGTTTATAAATCATGACAGACAATGGATAAGGTGAATGGCAAGAGTCTTTTTCCTAAGGTGGGGGAGTTCAAAACTAGGGGGCATATTTGTAAGGTGAGAGAAAGATTTAAAAAGGACATGAGGGGTGACTTTTTCACACAGAGTGGTTAGTGTGCAGAATGAACCACCAGAGAAAGTGGTAGGTGTAGGTACAGTTACAACTTTTAGGAGATATTTGGATAAGTATGAGTAGGAAAGGTTTAGAGGGATATGGGCCAAATGCAGGCAAGTGTGACTAGTTTAGTTTAGGAATGTAGTTGGTGTGGATTAGTTGGACCAAAGGGTCTGTTTCCATGCTGTATGACTAAATATCAACTGTTTCCCTCTCCACAGATGCTGCCAGGCCTGCTGAGTTTCTTCAGCATTTTTTGTGTTGGCTTCAGAAGTATTCCATGAGCTGTGAAAAGGTGCCACCTCAAGGCAGGTGGCAACGGTGTGAATTCCAATGTTTGGTACCAACCAGTTCCTTTCCTAAGTATGTTTTGTTTTCAAATGGGAAGTCTGCTGGCCCGCTGTTCAAAACAGTCCTGGCGAGCCTGACATCCCCGTTACCTTAATCCCTCACAACTCCCCCTCCTACACCTACCCTCTCCCCTCTGAAACCTTACTCCCTCACCTCTCCCCATCCTTCACC